GACCAGGCTCTCACATCACCAAGCGCGAAGCGCCGTGAGGTAATGGGCGAGTCGCATGAAGGGTGCGCTGCATCCTGCTAAGGGTGTTCGGCATCTTGTGCTTGCTTCCTTGCGTACGGATGACAGCTGCGTATGACTTAATTAATTTTCTGGTGCTTTCACTTCCAGAGACAGTTGTAAGCACTGTGTAACCGCCTCGAGGGTGCTTGACCATTTTAACACAACGTGATGCGATCATCCCCCTTGCGCGTAGTGAGGGTTCTCCACCCCGCACAAAATGATCTACTCGACCACCATTGTGGTTACCGCCAAAACAAAGACCAGAGGTAAACAAAAGAAAGGTAACCTGGTTGCCGAGTTCACGAAGTGAAATGGCTTGTTTTACAACGTCGTTGCAAAGCGACGAAAACCCAATCCCGATGGCAAACACCGAGGGGGGTGACGGCAGAAAACGCCGCCAAGTGAAACACATAAAACATGATGGCCAGAAACCAACGGTGCTCCCACTAGTCAATCGTCGCAACGCCGCGCGCCTTGCTGGACGACTTCTCAACAGCCTCGCCAGACCGAAGCGTTTCGCCTGCGATACTCTTCTCAGGGTGGGAAAAGCGGGGCTGCGATACTGCAACGAACGACGAGTAAAGCAGGCCGCAACTCCGAAGTTATTCCCTTGTCACCTCTGGGTGCGAACATTACTACAACCATGAAGGGTTCAAGACATGAACCCTCCGCCAAACAAGCTAGCAGCTCTGGGCCGTGACTGCTGCGGTAGTGCCTGCTGGGACAAAAATGACTGACGGACTTCGCATCAACTGACTGTTGTATCGCGTGTTCGCGTCAGGCTACAACGGTCGTCGGCCGATAGGCCGGGATCCATAGCGCTGGTGAAAAGCTCTTGGCACAGATCAAAGAATCAAGTCGATTTACACTCTGAAACTAAGAGGACTGGTGGCCGCAAAAGGGGGGGCTGAACCGGCATGGCGCATACGCGCGTACCCGCCCTACAGAGGGACCCGCGACTGTTCTCAGTGCCAGAGGAGCAGATGAGAGACCAAGCATCACCCGCCGGTCACTCCGAAACACAAGCGTTCCAAGCAACAGGTCTTGTCTAATGCTGCTGTATGTACCACGGCGAAGTCAAACGCCGTCGGAAACATGCTGTTTGACGCTGCTTCCTGGCTAGGACGGGGCCGATTTCCTGATCTGCCTCGAGTGCAATCGAAGCTCTCCCTGCGGGGTCGAGTTCGAAAAGCAGCGCCAACGAGTAACGCGCAACATAATATCCCGGAGATCAAGAGTCAGCGGCGGGGTAGGTGGTAACGAAAAAGGGCCGAAACAGCAGGATCCCGACGCAGCTATGTAAGTCATTCGCGACCACAAGTTCACGGTATTTTGTAGCAGCAACTCAAAGGGTGTGTTTCTTCTGCGCTACTCAGGGATTTGGGAAATGTGCCCCTCAATCCAACCTAGCCGTTACGACTGTGGAATACTACCGCAAGGGACACCATGAGTTCTGATCCTTTAAGGGTTCCACAAGCGCTTTTTCGCGCTTTTCGTTTCAATCCCCAGGCAACAAAGGCGGCGAAAACCGACAGGCCCAGCTGATGCCAATCAAAGGAACAACATGCAGAACACGAAACATCAAGGGGAGGGAGCACCGACGCGAGAACAAAATGATACCGACGACGTCAACGCTGCTGTCAAACGGCAAGTTCACCTGGACGGTCTCCAGGTCGACGTCCGCGAATACCTCGTCCGACAGCAGCGCTGCAAATGCTCGTGTGCGAACCAGTTCCATGCACAGCTCCGTGCCTTTTGTAGTTGTGGACGTACGGTAGAGAGGAAGCATGCGGGGAGGGGGGGGGGGGGGTCAAGACCGGGGTTGCCTTCTATTTTTTCTGGCGACCCAGCAACCCCGCTACAAACAGCCAGTGTGGGAACGACTACCATACAGGATGGAGACACGACTGTTATAGGTATGAACAGAGACAAAGATGGCAGTTGAACAATGCCTCCGGCCTTCGACAAAAGATCGCAGAGGAACAACACGTCTGTGATTGCATTGCGCTGAATGCAACCACCTCGTCAAGCCACCGCCATGACCCATGTACAATAAACCAAAAAGATGACACATGTTTTGGTGACTCTGACGGCCACTTTGTCAATCCGAGCCGAGATGAACCCCACACTCAGCGTGAAGCTGCCAGCAACGATTGGTCATCCGTGATCGATCCTGTGGGAACAATGATCCGCCAATGGTCCAGAGGTCGATGGTCTAACCGCTAAGCCGAGCAAAACATGAATACCCCCCTCCCCTCCTCCCCCCCGGTGTTTGTCATCGGGGTTGGGTTTTCGTCGCTTGGCAACGACGTTGTACAACAAGCCAATTCATTTCGCGAACTCGGCAACCAGGTTACCGTTTTTTTTTATACCTCTGGTCTTTGTTTTGGCGGTAATCATGAATGGTGCTCGAGTAGATCATTTTGTGCGGGGTGGAGAACCCTCACTCCGCGCAAGGGGGATGATCGCATCACGTTGTCAAGCACCCTCGAGGCAGTTACACAGTGCATACAACTGTCTCTGGAAGTGAAAGCACCAGAAAACAAATAAAGTCATACGCAGCTGTCATCCGTACGCAAGGAAGTAAGCACAAGATGCCGAACACCCTTAGCAGGATGCAGCACCCTTCATGCGATTCGCCGAATATCTCACGGCGCTTCGCACTTGGTGATGTGAGAGCCTGGTCCGGTGAGAACCCGGCGTGCTCCGTCCCGG